ATGCAACTTTACAAAAACACAAGAGATGAATTAACACAAAGACTTGAGCATCTTAGTAGTAGAGGAAGGTAAGTGCCAAATATTCACTTTTTATTACTTATTACAGTTGAAAAATGTGTCTTCAGCCTTCGTGTATGTTATAGGTGTTTGATGTTCAAAATTGATTGAGCAGTGATTTTATAACATATTTGTTTATGCTTCTGAAATTCGTAATACCAGCATCATATGTTTTAGATAGATTTATTATAATGTCTATTTTTACTATGTTTTTCAGAGTTCTAACACCATATGAAGCTAAAAGTTTGGTTGCTCTACTGTACTCTGAAGATAAAACACTTATAGAAAGAGCTCTTGTAACAATTGCCAACTGTGCAGCATTCAGTGTTAATCTTGTAAGTTGTATACTGATATTTACCTTGTAAAAGCAATTGATGATTTTTTTTTCTTTACATAATTGAAATTTTCACCCACTTAGAGCTTAGTATTCATTATTGATATGTATAGTAGAAATTATTGTAATTTTTCTGAATTTCTTTTGTGATGTTGAGGTCTGAAATTAATAGTGTGCACATTTATCAACATTTGGCCTTTTCTCGCAGGATTTTTTGCGAGAGGTTGGCTGTATTCATCGTCTAACAACCCTCTTAGAAGATAATGAAGTACGATTACCAGCTGTACAAACTCTGGGAAATGTAGTTTTGTCTGAAGAAAATATACGCCAAGCCAAGGTAAAATAATTTTTGGTAGAGAGGGATAGTTTCATGACACAGTTCTTATGACTAGCCTGTTTGCAAGATCATGTTGTTATATTAAGATATTGAACCCAAACAGTGATACATTTATATGTTTCCATTTTAAAAATTATTTTTCATTCTTTTACTTTCAGGATTGCCTTCCAATTCTAATGGGCTTTGTGCAGAATAGTCATGGTGATGATGCTCTACGCTTAGCTTCTTTAGTAGTTCTTACAAATATTGCCACTATTAGTGAGTGGCATGAGGATTATTGCCCCCTGCTTCATAGGTAAATCATATAGGGATACATATGTATATACAATATATTTGTCTGCATAGAAACAATGAAGAATTTTTTTTTTTATAGTAAATATTAAATGCTATTGATGTGTCTTGTCAAAACAGACTCTACCACCTGGTTGACAGCCCCAACCCTCACATCCAGCTTCAGAGTCTCAGATTACTAGTCAACTTGTCATGCAACAGAGAGATGATTCCTTCACTGCTGGCAGCAGAGGTAGATTTTTCCATCATAGTTTGGTAACTTATGTGGAGATACATGGTAATTTTACCTCATTTATCACAGCAATATGTTTAACAGTTTCTGTCTTGCGTACATATATCATCTTTAAATGGCAAATGTAAAAGAGATGTGTTTTATATTTTATATGCAAATATCACTGATGTGAAAATATTGAGAAAAGTTCCTTTTTTCTCTTTTGCCGCCAGCTTTGGTACCTGCCATTATGCCATCTACAAGTCATTGATTTGATTAGTTGGATACTTGATAGAATTTTTTTGATTAAATGATGTAGGGTCTTATTTTAGTATTTGTGCTGTAGAGTAAGAGTTTATTTGAATTTAAGACAGAGATACCCAATAATCTTTAATAAACTTCATTTTTTGTAAATTGATATTATGTCATATTGTATTTTTAACCCACTAACGACAGGTGTCCCACACATGAGACACCTGAAAAAATAAACATTGCCGGGCGTCCCGCCAGTGTGTCGCTGTATTGGGGCTCACTCTCTGACACAGCAGCGGGCTGCGGCCGATTTTGTAGCTACCCGGAATCTTTTATTTTCGGCTTCAAAATATACTGGCGTTAATGGGTTAAAATAATAATGTATTATGCAGTAACATCTGAGTGCTATGATGATTTTACCTGATACTTCGTAATGCATCTAAAATATTTTTTATTTCAAAAAGAAAAGATAGACACAGCTCTGAAGTAGATAGGCAGGTAGGTAGGCTGGCAGGTTTTTAGCAGTGCGTAGGAAGTAATGATCTGAAACAAAATCTGTGCCACAGTGTGTGATTATATACAATATATATACTGCTGGTAATATCTGTAGCTTGAAACTGTAGGCACTGGCTGATGTAATACAATAATTTGTTTGAATGTTATACAGGACAGCAAATGCAGTAGCTAACTCAAATGCTACTGTGCACTGCATTTTCTGCCATCTTGATAATATAAGGAATATTTGATGGGAAAATAAACTGAAATGTTAAATCATAAAATATTCTTTTGTAACTTGAATTTATTGCTAAATTATGTAAAAGTTTCTTACAAGATATCTGATTCTTAGCCTAAAATAGCATTTTGATTGAAAAAATAGAATATTTAAAACTTTTTCCTACTATCATTATACATAGAGCATGTACTAACTGTTACTTGTTTGCAAGGCATATCTGCCTTTAAAACTTGTCATGTCTTCATATTCATTCTCATTATTTTAAACTGTCATTTATTCATTTCCCAATGTTGTTCCGTATGTTTTAGATTCTTCTACATGAATATAAAATTTGATTACTGTAAAATATGATAATTGACATTAGAAATGATTATATTGACGCTTATAGTCTTGACAGGATTGAGTTTCTTCACATCTTCATATTTCAGGGTCCAAGGAAACTCAGCTCATTAGTTGTTCCGGAAACAAATGAGGCAATATTATTGCGTGTTCTCACCCTGCTAGCAACTTTAGCACATGCAGTAAGTGAAGACAATCTGAATCCCAGTGTGGACCTGCCACCAGAAGACAAAGCAGCTGCTCCTGACACCATGTGAGTAATACAAGCAGTTGTAGTAATATTAGCCACTTGTGTTTGGAGTTTACAAAGTAGAGTTGAGCTTTTGCAGTATACTTCTTTGCTCTGTGCTTTTCAAGTCATGATCCCTGTGTAGGTATTGCTATTGTTTATTATATATTGTATGTAACATGTTTACTCAAAATTAGGCTGGCCTCTAGTGTTAATTGCAGGTATAGTTAAGTATATCTGCAAATTTCCTATATATTTGGGGAAAATATACACTATTTTTGGAGATCTTCATATTTAATTATAAGCCAAAGCTTCTCATAACAGCATTGCTGTTGTAACATCTTGCAGCCTTCATCATATATCATGAGGTATATTGCTCTGTACCATAACAGGGGGAATATTTAAATTTATATTTACATTGCATTTAGATATTTTCAATGATGATGGCTTCTTGTATCCATTGATCTCACGTTTGGTGTCACAATTTTGTTACACTTTGAAGGAAAGTTTTTAAGTCAACTTTCCTAGATTTGTATTGGGACAAAGATGAATTAAATACAAATATTTCATACTGCTACCAAGAGAAAGTGCCTATTAGGAGGAAAAAGGGTTGCTTACAAAAGAGTAAATATGGTAGTAGATTTTTTGCAGTGATTTTGAGTAATTAAGAGCTTCATAACAGAAGCATAGATGGAAAAATCCTTTGGTAGGTAATGGCTTCATAGATTTTTAGAATTTAGATATTCAGTTCAAGTAAACAAATTATAAAAGGAGAATGAATATTCTGGAAAAAGAAAAAGGTAGGCAGATATAGGTATAGATATAGAAATATGCAGACAGGAAAATGATAGGAAATATTAAATATAAGTATTTGATTCTCTGTTGTTGATGAGAATTGTATAGTTTGAAGATTGTTTGGAATGAAATATATGAGAAAAAATACAATTACAGACTGCAAAAGGTTATTTGCAGGAAAAGAAAACAAAAATTAATTCAATTAGAAAATAGAAACTAACTTAACATTCATTACATATTGAATTGCAAATATATCTTGGCATTAACTGTGTTATATTATTCAAGTGCTTTCTTTAATTATTCAACTTTCCTGGCTTATTTGATAAGAAAAGATGCTGGAGAGGCATGTATACATACCCTATTCACTTTTATTTTGTGTTATTTTTGTCTACATATATATTGCCTTCAGAAGTATTTAATCACCAAAAAGTGACTGAAGTTTTTGACAAGGGAACTTTTTATTATTATTTCTACTATAATTTTTGATAAGTTTTGCTGATGGTGGTAATAGATGAGAACAATAATGATAATGAAAGTAGTTTACACAATTTCCTCCCCCAAAAAGTCAAATAATGCAGAAGTGATCAGGTTGCTTTAATAATAAATTCCACAGTGACAGTGCTTTTTGAAGCTATCTGTGTGTAAACAAAATTGATGAAACAAACCACAGTGGACAGTGCATTTACCCATTGTCATTGGATTAATTTGTGGGTTGTATTCATTAATTTGGAATTCAAAAATTATAGTTTTAGATAAGAAAATCATTAAGACTTTTTCTCTTATTATAGTTATATTTGTTTCATTACCAAATAGATCTGTAATTTTCTTTTGTAGTGCCTAAAAGGAACCAATACTAACAGTGGATAATAAGCATGGTTTGACAAAAAAAAGAAGAATTGATAGAATTGATGAAATTATTGCTTTCTGGAGATGCCAGTAAATGTGCAGCATTGTTGCTCAAACTATTAGGCTCTGAGCTCTTTTATTATCTACATATGAAAGAAAGTTTGTCATCCATAAAAAAAAAATAATAATAATAAAATAAAAAATATAAAAAATAAAAAATAGTTTGTCATCCATGAGCAGAAACATTGCATAGATTAAGTTGACATCTGTTTTTGTGTATTGCAACCCTGAGCTCAATACTTGTGGGCAGATGTAAATGTTGCTGAATGTGAATAGTTTAAACTATGATGGTAGCCTGAGCAAATGGGTGTTTGATTACATAGGGGAGCTAGAAAAAGAAACATCATTGCCCAGTTTGATGGTAAGATCTTAAATTTGATTTCATGTTTTCATTTTTGAGCATACTTGTTATTGTTATTTCATTGTTATTCTGATCAAAATAGGTCATTACATTTTGAAAAAAATGAAGTCTTTGAGACCTCATGTAGGGGCCCTCTTATTAAAAAAGTATTATCGACTTTTTGATATTTGATTTTCTTTAACAAGAGGATTTGCTTACTACACTTTTATTGTGTGCAGAATTTGCCCTGACCATTTTCAGGCCAATTGGACCATTAGAACTCACTGACAAAAAATGCCTCCAGAAAAAAACTTTTTATTACTATTTTATATGTGTGGTCTAACAACACTGTTAGAGCTGGAGATTGCAACTACAGGGTGAAGAGTGAAAGTGGATATTTTGATGATTGTACTGCCAGAATGTTTATTTCTATTCTCATTTCTTATTGCCATGCACTCATAGTTGGTCAGTTTTCTTTGCATATACAAATGCCATGCAAAAAATGAAAAAGAAGTGAGGAAAAGTTGGTCAATTGTCTCTACATAGAGGAATAGTAAGTGTTCTGCCTGATGTTTTTCCTCATTTTTGCAAAGCATTTTTATATTTAGAGAAAACTGACCAACTTTTCCATATTTGATTTTCATTTTTTGCAAGGCATTCTTATATGCAGAGAAAACTTTGAGTGCATGGCAGTAAGAAATGAGAAAAGAAATATACATTCTGGTAGTACAGTCATCAATTTGATGTGGAAAAAAATCAGGCAGAACACATTCCCTCTATCATACTTTATCTACATCCAATTTAACATTACACAGACGGTATCAGAATTTCTGTGTGGCACTCATTCCAGTGACTACTGGCAACCATCTAGCTGTATTGGCTGGGCATTTGCTGTATACAGCTGGCCCTTCCAGCTCGCTTGCTAGAGTGAGTCATGACACGTATACACATGCCCTTCTTAAAGGGTAGGTATTCCATGATGGCTGTAGCTGTGCCTGTCAGCAAGGCATTAAAGGGTCTGGCTCAAGCAGTGTTGTCAGAGTGTGCATATAAAGTATGGTTTTGAGATAACTGCATTTAGTTTTTTAATATTAATTGAGACACTGCTAATTTTATTGAACCTGCAGCCCACTGCGTGCATCTGTCTGCTTTTAATTCAGTTATATATTATTAAAATTTGAAATTGTCAGCTTTGTATATTATTAGAGATTCATTGTAGTTGATTGCAGCAATATTTTGTACCGTTTTCATCCTATTTTGCTGAAAATAATCATTCTTATTCAGCCCTGAAACTGAACTGAACAAAAGCATTATGGTATTATTTCTGTTACATACTGCAGGTATTTACAAGGTAAATCAGTTGGAAAAATCCTTTTTTTCTCTCAGTGATTTTACTTGATGTTGTATTATGTTAATACACATGTTTGATAAAACAAAAATGCCTACATATAAGTTGAATCTAACCTATTTTTTCACATTTCCACTTTATTTATATCTCCAATTGGCAATATGTGTAGCGTATATTAGAGGACAAGTTAAGCATGTGGAACAGAACGTAGTATTCACAATTTTTTTTCCTTCTATCCCAAAAATATTTGAAAAGACTTGTTTATATGTTTATATTACAAATTAGGACTTTAGCCATTCAGAGATGAGACAGTCTCCTTAATCCAATAATACTGGAAAGGCATGTATACTTGCTTTCCCCACTGTGATTTTAGTGTATTAATTTTGTTTACACCAAGATAGGTCTACAAGTGCTTAGTCACAAAGGAGTCAGTTACTTGGCCTGCTTGATCTCACTTTTATACCTTATTCCTTGAGTTTTCAGTATTTTTTAAAATTATTATTACTATTAGTATTGTTGATGATGGTATGATAATGATAATGTCAATAATAGTAGTGATGATAACATAAATACTTATGATAACATAGATACTAAGTATAGGGTGCACTGGGCTTCCACTCCGGGAATATGCACAGCTGATTGGGCTTTCCTCTAGGGCCTATTTCAGACACAGCCAGTGTGTTGCACTTGACACGCTACACTAACAAAGTTTTATGATTTATTTTTGTATCACTTGCATCTAAAAAGTGATTTCAATATTTTTGCATATTCAGATATGTGTTATTAATTTTAGTTGCTTGATTGAAACTGTGATAGCCTGATGATGTGCATTAGAGTCATTTCAATAAATTTGATGTGTTACACTCTGTGTAAAAGGTGGAATGTAGTTTTATTTAGGGCTAGAAAGATTTCCTCTTGTTTTCACATGTTATTTTTACAAAATAAGAAATTGTATGCAGTTTATACAAGGTTGCTATTCCCACTCCTTCAACACTTCTCTTTTGTGTGTCCTACTTCAAGATAGTTACAATCTCAGAGTGCCATATGACAATGTGAATAGTTGATGCAAGGAGACTTTAAAGTGAAGGCTTCTTATAGGTTTGCAGCAGCAGTAACAGAGTACAATTCTTAAGGGCAAGACATCTTGCAGGAATAGCAGCCAAATATTTATGTTGTAGATATCTCTACTTTTATACAAAACAATAGCTTCTCAGAATATGACACATCCCATTCTCCTTTAGGTAATGTTCCAGGGCATGTGACATGTGGGCTTGAGAGTACCTTATAAAGAACAGTATATGAACAGTATATTAGTAATATGATATGAATGACCTGTCATAGGGAGCTGTGCCCAAGTCAGACATGTCAGGAATAGCATATGACCTGGAGCCATGACCATGTCAGCCAAATGATGTGAACCCAAGAGTTAATGATGTCATTGGAAATTCTAATAATGTTAATAATCATGATAATTTTAGTACATATTTTATCTCAAAATTCAGGAAATGGCATTAACAGATGAAGGCAGAGTGACTTAGTAATTTACTCTATTGTTACTAAGTATTTCAGAAGCGACTAATATGTAAACAGAGAACAGTTCATGTATTTGATGTCTGTGGGTTAAGAGAATTGTTG